ATATACACACATACATATATATATATATATATATATATATAAACTACAAGCTGGCAGCTGGGACCAGATGAAAAATATAAAAATGATAAAAAATTCATAAATAATCATTATTGCACTTAACATTGTACCATATCATAGTTATAATTTTGTTATGTATCGTGAGATGCATACATGGACATTGGAATTACTCATGTTTACAATACCATAAAAAAAAAAAACAAGTAACAAACTTTGTAACAAAGTGTATTGCAAAATGATGCAGATCTCTAATATGCAGTATGTTTTCTTTTAAAGTCAACATGAAAATAATTTTACTTCTATGATCTGAATATTTACACATGAAACAGAACAGCATATTTAGTGAGGAAAGGTGTAGGATAGGACTTGAATGTATTCATCTGAAACTGACTGAATGCTGAAAAGTGGATATCACGTACCATGATGGACCTGGTGGTTGAAGGGAAGGGGTTGAAAACATAACAGGGATTTGTGGCATCAGCTAAGGAAAGTAATTTCAGAGGTGGGGCAAGTTATTAAGACAAACTTTTCTGAATCTGGAATAATGTGCACAGATCAGTGAGCACCAAGAACATAGACAGGGTCAATTTTCATGTTGACTTTCTTAAATGTTGACTTCCATTTTAAAATTCTTATTACAATTTAAACAGGTCAAGATTATTTACGTTATTTAACATCAAATAACAGTTTTGTTACAATTTTACGCCCTTTTTTCCTCTAGCAGAAGCCTTGATGCACTTGCAGAAATGTGTAAAGACAAAAACACAGATAACAGCACATTCTCTGAATGTTCCTTTAAGAGCACTGAGGAACATAAGAGCCACAACAAAATAGAGACAGCAATGAGTCGGGGAGAAGTGGGTGGCATGGGTGACTCCATGGGAGGAGATGGCCTTGAGGTAGCTGTGTCACTAAAGATCTCCAGGACCTTCCATGGACCTACAGAGAGCTTTCTGTGAAACCCCAGAAGGTGTACGAGCCTCAAGGCATCTCGCTCCCGTATGAAAACCGGCAAGGCAGTAGAGGACATTCAGAGGTAGAGGATTTGGGGAGAACTCTACATGCTCTGCGTGGTGTCATCCAAAACACCCAACTCTCCATGACAGCACTCTCTCTCCATGGCCCGTTATGTTCCTCTCAGCATAGCTGCCCACACAGCTCTCACTTTATCCTTGTAATTCTCAGTCTATTCCGCTCATTATGTCCCACTACCTCTGGAGGTTTGCTGTCACACTGAATTGAGTATACACAACAATGTAGCCTGGAAAGAGTATGTAGAAAGTGGAACAGAGTGATTAAAATTCATGTTTTTTTGTAATCTATTGTAAGTAAAAAAGAGAGGCTCTCAGTATATTAAATGCTGGAAAAAGTGGTACTGCTTTAAAACTCCATTGCTTATAAATGAAGGCATCATCAAAGAGAAAGGTTCCTGGGTGACAAGATGATTAAATTATTTCTCTCATATCTGCTTGCCAACACTGTGGGCTGCCTAAGTGGCATTCAAAAGCTAAATCCTTTGGAGAAACGCCACATGTATAAGGTAAAGCGCAGATCTCTGTGAGAATGAGGGCTTGTTGAGCCATGACGTGGAGTCTTTTCAAGGCCTCTTAAAGTTTCCCTCCAGCAGTGTGCACCTGTCAAGGACACCTGGCCTCTGTGATACTGTCACCATGGTAGCCTCCTCCAGCCCCTTGAGTAACAGATACAACACATACTGAAGAGTCGGTTCTGGAGATGAATGTGGCAGATGGAAATGCCTCGGAAGATCTTTACACTAGACATCGATTTCTCTAGCAGAAAGCAAAGATTTGAGTCCCGTTAATGGTCATAGCTAAACCTACCGGGAGGTCAGTTGAGGAACTCGGCGGACAGGCTTTGGGTGCAGCGGGCCGAGCGGAACTTGAGTTCGTGGTAGCACTGCACAAAGCTGTGGTAGATGAAGGTGATCGGAAGAGCAAGCAGCACTATACCGCTCACGACGCACAGGCCACCAAGCACACGTCCTGGCACAGTGATGGGGTACATGTCTCCATAGCCGACAGTCGTCATGGAGATAATAACCCACCAGCAGGCGGCAGGAAGAATATGGCCATGGCCACGCAAATGAAGACCAGGAGCATGACCATCTCACGGTAGCAGCGCTTCAACGTTAACCCTAAAGTCTGGAGCCCTAGGAAGTGTCGCGCTAGCTTGATGACCCAGAAGATTCGCATCATGCGCAGCACACGCAGCGTCACGCCAGCCCTCTGCAGCTGAGAGTTTTCTCCAGTCAGAACCGTCATGGTGACAGAGATGTAATAGGGGGTAATGGCCAGCAGGTCTATGATGTTCAGCGGACGTCGCACAAACTCACACTTGTCTCGGGACACAATGAAGCGCACGATGCACTCTGCCGTGAACCATCCGATGCACACCGCCTCAATGATCCTGGACAGGTGCGCGGTGATGGGGGAATAACAGAAAGAACGTTTGAGAGAGAAAGAACATGTTGATGCATAATACGAAAATAGAGAGTAGTCTCATTAACCACATCAGATGTTTAGTTCAAGGGGTCTAAGTGATAATTCAAAGCCATTTTAAAGCTTTCACTGAGATTCATCATCTTGTTTGCTAAGCTTTTAAATGCTTTTCCTTATTGCTATTGCTGCTCGCTCACAGATCCTTTGAAAAGCTGACTGAAATGTTCTGAGGCAAAAAGTAGTAAGGTCAAAAAGCTAGCAATGGCTTTAGGAATGAGCCGACTTCCTTCAGAATTATGATTCTATTCATGAATGCAAAATTGCGCCTACAGCTTTAATAATGGCTTAGAATTAATGAACTGATGAAATTACACTAGCAAATAAATAAATGAACAGATTTTTTATTGTCTTGTGATCCAAATGACCATGAACTAAATACATTTCAATTGCTAATTGAAACCAATGCAAAGCAAATGTATATTTTCATTATATCTTACATGAAACTGAACTATTGCTGTCTTGAAGCATTTTGAAATGCACTCTGCTACTTAATCCATGCAACCGCTTGGAATCCCATAAGGCCTAGCAACACCGTTTATGAAGTAATGCCAATATTGATCACAGTATTTGTATTCCTCTCAGAGTCTAATGATGACAGTAATGACGTCTGATGAAAGCCAGACAGTAAAATGGATTGAAGCATATTCACAGAATGCCAGTAATTGTTAGTGACTGAGTGATTAAAAAAAAAAAAACTATTATTAAGAAGATATGTCAATTCTCATTGTATTTATCTGTTTTGCCATTTTGTTAAAAGGGTTGCTGGGTCTTAAAGGGTTGGATACATAACTAAAATAAATAAATAAAGGCAAACCATTCCAGTTCAGAGCCCTGTCATTTTCTTTTCCATTTTAAAAACAAAGTCAATATAATATTAAATTTGATTCTGAAGGTGAGATTAGAATTTGTAAGCTGAGAACTGGTGGAACAGAGATCTGGCAACAGATAGCAACGTTTATTTCTCTTTAGTTCTCTGAGAGAGAAACAAGTTGTTGGTTTACAACTACTTGACAAATTGGACATAGATACTGTTTTTCCATTTTAAACAAATTTGGATTTGGTCTTTTATCGACATCTGTTCCACCAAAATTACTGATGTAGTCTATTTATGCACCTGTGTTTCTAACCCCAAAATAGATGCGTAAAATGTCCCATTTTACATCAAGTGGAGTGGAACTCCAGTTTATAAGCAAAAAAAATAAGAAATTGCCTGATGCTTTCGTGTCAGATGTGCTTTTCTGACAGAAGTCAACTTTGAGCTGGAATAGAAGCATAGCAGAGGAAAAATGGAGACATCGAAAGTTGTCCCCAAAGACATAATCACTCATACTAATGACAACTGAAAAAACAAACCTGATTTTTCAGCAATATCGACCATGTTATATTTTTACACACAAACACACACAGTATGGAAGTTTGCTCCTCAGGTACCAGTACCTTCAGAACAGTCCGTGTGGCAGTTATGAATATGAAACAAACAAACACAGAGGTTAAAAAGATATTAAAAAACAAGGACATTGCTAATAAGCTAGTGGTCAGTGGTTGTTTGTTGCAGGTTTCTAACTAACTATGTAAATGACTAGTGGCACCCGTATTTGACTCACCTTTTGCTCATTTATTTATTAGTCTTATTGTCATGTTTTCTTTAATAGCTTTTTGTGTTTGTTTTAAATGCCCTTAAATTGGGTCAGAGAAAAACAGTCCAGCTTAAACGATGTCAAAAAGCTGACACGTTTTGCTGTTTAGCATCTGACACTTTATTATAAGATGATCCATTCCTCCACATGATCTACAGCTGGCTCTTAACCTTCATTCAGCACCTTGGAGAGAGACAGCTCTACCTTCCTCAAAATAGTGCACTTTCCAACTTTGCTTTAGCTTTTAGCTACACACACACGTTACCAATCTCACAATCAGTGAAAATCGTGGAGCCCTTAACTTCGAGATGCTCAAGTAGGCTATTTGTTCACTAGACTATGAAACTTTATGACTTCTTTTCATGCTGAAAGATAAAAGACAAACATTTAGGAAAAATGACAACATGACAATATACACATGATACAGAAGACTGTAGACAAGTGTGGCTGCAGATGCATATTTTATATTTATAGGCATTGCTTTACGAGGAATAGGGGCACATACACACACACACATGATGTGTTCTTGTATTAAAACAGCTGAGATGTGTTTTTAAAAGTTGAATTGATTTTGACTGCTCATGGCGTGAGACACCACGCAACGGACAAAGACATCATCTGACTTATTTTTAGCCTAAAACAAATAGTGCAGACAGAACATAGCCTAGAATAAACTTAATAAAATAACTGCAATTAATTAGGTGATTCCAGACATTTCAAGAACAACGTTCTTGAATAAAACAGAAAAAAAATATAATAATTTTGTTTGCCAAGCTTGCACACTGCACAACTGAAGTCTGCATTACCTCAGTATAAGTAACCACATTTCTATGTTGTGGTCAGGAGTGGGTAAAGAGTAACTCAGAAGAAAATGTTAAAGTTTAAAAGATTTGTCATTTAATTATTAATCCATAAAAAAACAACTGCTCTTAGTGACCTATATAAAGCATAATAAATTATAAAAAAAAATGATAATTGAATCAGTACTGTGATAGAATAAATTTGTAGTGAATTTCATGGCAGTGGGATGGAAAATCAGAAGAGAAAAAATGCCTAAGTGCGGTTAGACAGACATCTTTGACCACTGAGATTCATTTCACTGTTTTCCCCCTCAGCATCCCATGCCATGAACGTTACATTTTAACGTTCTAAGACGCTGTACTATGTTAAAGTTACAGACACTACCTTTTTGATTATTGTATTGGTTGATATGTGGGCCCCCTTTATTTCGGGGCTTGGGGTAATGTTTCAACAAAGGTTTTTTTTGTTGTTTTTTTCCTCCATGAGCTAAAATATTCAGTAGTAAAGTTATTTAGAAAAGTGGAGTAGCTTTGGCTAGTCATGTGATTTCAACATGTCAGCCCCATGAGGAGACCCTCTCCATGTAAAATAAAACAGCTGTCATTAGGCTTCTCTATTGCATGTGAGTGTAAATCACACATTTATAAAAACGTACAACTTATTTTATCATGTCTAGTGTTTTATTAAGAGTTAAAATTAAGTGCACCTTTAAAAGATATTCGACGTTTAAAAACTAGTCGAGAAATCTATGCATGCAGTTTCATTTCCGCTGCGTGGGGTCTAGCTGTTTTTTTTTTTTTTTTTTTAACACAAGAACGCATTCTGTGTCAACGACCCCTGTGAGGATATTTGCTGAAATCTCACCAAAAAGTTAGGAAGTTTATACAAGAAAGAAAACATAAATACCCGGATGGATGCTCTAAAGAGTCTGTGTACCTGTGCTCTTCCACCATGTTGCTCTCGGCAGTTTTCCAGTCAGGAAGAGTGCTTGCGCAAAGTATTACCATGGACACGATGACAAAAATCACCGATACGGACGCCAAAATTTGCGCTGCCAGAGAGGAGGTGGGCTCCTCGAACGTCCTGCGCATTCGCTCCAGCCACTTTGAGTCCCGCTTCCCGTTTGACGACTCATCAGTCCTACTAATTTCATTGGCCGTTTTGTGGTGCTCCTCGGTAAAGTGAGTGTACGTGTCGGACATGCGTTCGTCGAGTCTCCGCTGGCAGCAGAACTCCAAATGAGAGCTTTCCAAACCCCAGTAAATCATCTCGTTGTAAAACGACAGCTCGCACATATGCGGGACAAAACGCAGTTTGCCGTACTTCACGTACAGCATAATGAAGCCGAACGCTTCTGAATGTCTGTCAAAGAAGAACTCGTTCCTCTCTCTATCGTAATCATCGCACACTTCCAGCACTTCTCTCTCCGAGGCGCAACTGTGGAGACGACTCACTCTCCTCAAAGGGAAATCCTTGATTACGTCCTTTGGAAACGCGTACTTGGTGCCACCCACGTTTATGATACAGACGCTTTTGCCAAACTTCATTTTTGCGAACTTTTAAATCCTAGAGTGCAGATGAAAGTCATGTTCAGTTGGTAGCGTCTCCCAGCTTTAGCTTCAAAGTTCACGCTTCACCCTTCAAGTGTCCACCACGCGGTGTGGGAAGCAGCTGGAGATAACGCCGTCTCTCTTGGCATTCTCGGGTTGGATAAAACTGAGGCGCTCGCGGTGCGCTTGTACCTGTGCGGCTGCTGCGCCCCGCCGATCTGTACTCCACACACGCGGCATCACGAGAGCACTTCGGTTTCCGCGATGCACCGAATCCAACCTGCGAGTGAGGCACCGGGCGCGAACAGTGATGTTATGCGTGCGCGCACACGCATGCACGCACACACACACATAGCTTTAGAAATACTCTCATGTCTCTTCTCTCGATATTCTGCTATCTATCCACAGATTTCAGGAGACACGTATCAGTTGTTGAGAGTCTAAAAACAGATTTCAGTATCTAACTCCTTTCACATTCATCTTGCACAATCGACTTCATTGTGTCCTAGCTCCTAATAATAATAATCATTATATATATATATATATATATATATATATATATATATATATATATATTGAAGCCAAAGATTTAAATAGTTCAAATTATCACATGATTTGTAGCTATAATGATACAATAATAATAATAATCATCATAATTTTAATTTATCATAACAAAAAAATAAATCAATTAAAAATAAAACAATTTACAAAAAACAAAACAACAACAACAATCTGCTCTGAATTTGAAGCCTTCTGGTACATTTTTAAAATTTGTATTGCAATAAAGCTTTAAATAATTAAATTGATCACATTTTTCATGAG